CCAGCTTCGAATAGGTCGCCTCATGTCCCGCCACTGGTACCATGCCAGTGCCTTCCCTTCCAAACACAGTCCTGCCGCTGTCAGTTTCTCCTCGTCTGTCAATCCGTTGACTGCAAAATACCGTTCCACCTTGTAGATCCAGCCATGGCCATCTTCCCCCTCAAAGATGGGCATCTTCAACTTCCTCACCTTCGGATCCCTTCCGTTACCCCGGTACTCTCCATAACCTCCCATTCCTCGAAGATGAGGTGCTCCCCAAGTATCCCGGTCCTCCCTCCCACGTTGGTATCCGAGTCCATCGTCATAATCCCCTCTTCCCCTTTCAGAATCAGCACCTCGACGCTGAAATTCAGCACCTCGACGCTGATATTCTCCTCTTCTTTCGCCAAAATCTGCACTTCCCTCATATTCTCCCCTCCGGCCTTCAAAATCCACACCTTGACGCTGAAAATCAGCACCTCGACGCTGAAAATCTGCACCTCGACGGTCATTCCCCAGGCTCATCTCCTCTCTAGAAAGTGGCTCTAGAGGTGGCATGTCATCGTCTCCCTCAAAATACACTTATTGACTCTAGAATCAAATTTACAACAGTGTTGAGGATACACATGAACACATGTCATACAACCAAATATCATGAGTGATAAATCAGATAAAGTTGCATGGGTGCAAGGAAAATTTTCGAGAAGAAGTTGATGGGTAAAGTGAAAATTAAGGACTATGGGTGGCATATGATAGACAAATAACTAGCTGCAAAAATGACTTCCTCCAAAAATATTTTAGAACTTTAGAGGAAAACATAAGACACCAGACAACCTCCAAGAGATGTCTGTTTTTGCATTCAGCTACCCCATTATATTGTTTGTGTGTCAACACAAAAACTTATGTGAATAATCATATACTTCTGAAGGTAAGTATTGAGACCACTAGTGAAGTATCCCTAGCATTGTCTGACTTGAGTACCTGAATTCTAGAGTTGAATTGATTTTGAATCATAAGATTGAAGTTTGAAAAACTTTGTCTGACCTCAGACTTCTTTCATAAGAAAAATCCAAGTTATCCTTGAATAATCATCAACAAATAACATAAACCATCGAGTGCAAGAAATATTTTAATAATTGATGACCCCACACATCACTGTGGATCAACGAAAAGGCAGTTGAAGTTTTGTATAGAATTTGAGGATATATTGTTCGAATATTCTTTGCAATCCGATAAGTTTCACAATTGTTGAACTTTTATTGATAAATAATTTGAGAAACAATTTTGCAAGATACATAAAGCTAAGATGACCAAGTATATAGTGTAACAATATAATTGCATTATTTTTATTAACATTTGAATTAGACACAAAATTGAAAGATTCAAACAAACTCTAAGATTAGACGCAACTTGCTTGAGAAACTTAGTTTAAGGATATGTCAATGGGAGGAGATAGAGCCTAGAGCACAGTTCAGCATTGCCAATCATTTTCCCCAATTTTAAATCCTAAAAAAACATAAATTTGGATAAAGTTTAGTAACACGTTGAAAGTCACGAGCCAAATTGCAAATGGACAAAAGATTGCAATCCAAATTAAGAACATGGAGGACAGATCTGAGATACAACTCTTTAGTAAGTTGAATGGAACACGTTATAATAATTTTAGAATTTGAACCACCAACAATACGGATGAACGAGTGACCACTACTTGGCATGTAATTTTTTAGAAGGGTAACATTTCCAGTTATGTGATAGAAGCACCAGTCAACTATCCATGACCTCATTTCTCCTCTAATAGTGAAGGCAGTATGTGAATTTGTTTGAACAACCAAACATGTCCTAGTAATGATGTCACTACCAACTTGACCGAACAATTTCTATAGCATATCCATCTGCTAATTGCTAAATGGGCTTGGCTCGGGAACAGGAGCACTCTGAAGTTGGAAGCCACATCTGCTTTGTTATCTCTATCGAATAGTGGCTTTCGTTTCCAAGCAGCTAGTTTGTCATGGGGCTTCCAGCAAGTCTCCTTGTAATGACCTGGTTTCTTATAGTAATCACACAAAGGGCTTTTTCTCATTAATGACGATCTCTAACATTATTGTCAGAAGATTGAATATCAAGGGTAGATGCATCCAACTTTGATGTGGGTTGTTCCTTAGATCCCATCATCACTTTCTTTCTACTTTCTTCATGCCTAACCTTAGAGAAAGTCACCCTAAGATTTGGTACTGGTTTAGTGCCCATGATTAAACCTCAATCATCATCAACTCCCTTTTAAGTCTTAAGAAAAACTTGAGCAGCCTTTTTTGTTCTACAATTTGCTTGTAGATTACTGCATCTTCTGAACATATTCATGAGTGAACCTTGATTAAGTGAAGTTATTGTCAATATCATGTTAGTGTGTTGTAATATTGAATAACAAACTACTCTCCTTAACGGAAGTCATGAAGTACTAATTCAACCTGAAATAACTTTGAAGTATTTTCAGAGTTTGAGTAAGTCTCTTTAGTTGCATCCCATATTTCTTTTGCAATCCCAAACAATAAGAAATTTTCATCTATGTTATTGTTCATGGAATTGATAAGCCATGACATGATTATACTATTTTAAATCTTCCACTTTTTGAAACCCTGATATATAGTCTCTGACATGGTTGCTGCTCCCATAATATACTCATCATTTCTCTTATCATAAATGAACATAAACATAAATTGAGACCATTTCAAATAATTATGGCCATTAAATTTGTGTCCTATGATGAGAATGGGAGAAGAATCACTGCCATCTAGGTTTGGAATTTCTGAATTGCTTCCCGATTCTGATGATATGATGTTGGATGTTTGTGATGAGGTCATTCCTTCGATGTTTGTGATGAGGTCATTCCATATTGCAAAGAAGGAGATGAGGGAGAAAAACGAATAAGGTTGCTTGAAATATAGAAGAAGGTCAAGACGAACACTGACCAAAGAGAATCAACTTGAGAAACAAAGAAGAGATGACCATAAAGAATCTATGAGAGAGAGGCGGTCTGAAGGGTAATGGGTTTGAAGAACTATCTTTGATACCATGAAGAATTTCTTAATTAAAAAAAAAAAGAAGAATTTCTTAATTGATTATGTTTCTTCCTTGTTCAAAAAAAGATACTACATCTGCATGTATATAATAAAAAATGTCTCATAAAAGAAATATCTAACTAGCATAATTATTTCCTAAAATTTAAGAAATAGAATCATAGGAGAATAATTCTTTTCTAAAAATTAGGAAACAAAACCGTAGAATATCATAATTGATGTCTCTTTTATTTCTAAAAATACTTTACTAAAATAAATTCCCTAATTTTGACTTTCAAATATTCAATAGTAATATTTAAACATATAATTATTTCAAATGGAGAAGATATTAAAATTAAAAATGAAAAGTGTGAATAGTTGTTAATGGAAAGAGAAACATGTGGCAAATGAACAGAAAATTAAGATTATTTTTTTCTTCTTGATGGAGAACAAAAATAACATGAATATGGCTTGGGTTCCAAATGTCTTGCACAAGTAATGAATATAAATACAAACGTGCAGATGTGCTCACAAAGGAAGAAAATGTATTTGGAAACTATTTAATGATTTGCAAGTCATATCTAAAACGTGATCAATTTTAATAATCCTGAAAAAAAAAACCCTTTCATGCTAAAATAGTATCAATTTCTAATCTTATCCTAAGGGAATATATTATTGCTATCATCTACGCCTATTCTTAGCTTGATTTCATATCACGATCAAGATGAATGCTCCGCTGTAATATCTTTATTGAAGAAAGAATGATATTGATTTGATGTGTCTAATGATTTTAGTGCTATAAATATGTGCCATAAAGGTAATTATATTAAACTTGGCGAGTTAAAATATTTGTTAGTCAGCTAAAAGATAAAATTATGATAAAGTTTGTATAAAATTCAAGTTTCAAGCATATGAAATGCCACCTAGATTAGGAGGAACCTTAGATAACTCCTTAAGTCAATAGGGTTCCTTGACATAAATAGGTTTTTTGCACCCATCAGTTATGATTATCTAATGGTTTGGAAATAATAGATATGCAGGGTGTTTCATAGCCTGTTTCACATAAGCTTTTTGCCCGACAATACAGCTTTAAATTCCAATAACAAGCACCACTACACCACAGAATTTCTCATATGGATATATAGACCAAATAAAACCATTCTTAATCCAATAACTAACCTCAACCCCTCCTGGCAAACCACCAACAATTTACTATCAGAAGGGAATTGGCTCTTAACCGCTTGAACAAAATCAGGGTTAAGCTTTGTGAATGGCAAACCAAATAAAGTTCCTACAAAATTGTTGTGTATTGTCCTCTTCACTATTGTACCTGCAACAAAATTAAAAGAAAATGTAACTCTCTTGTTCTCCTTCTTACTTATGAACACCAAAAAAAGGTCAATCAGATGAGATGAATATACCAAAGTCATTGTCATTATTCTCAATGAAAAGAGGAATATGCCTGCAAGACTTGATGTGAGCCCGATCAAACTGTGTTTTATCACGAATATCCAAAATGCTGTAACCTTCTTCGTCTACAAGTCTCTTTGCCTCCTCTCCATTCACATATTTCACTTCAGCTCTGATCATAGGAGTTCTCCTCGAACATGATATGCCACTGAATGTTCCCAAACGCTGCGTTAATAAACCAGCCCTAGATCTACATCGGAAAAAAATAAGGAAATCAGTCAGAATCCTCGTGTCCAAAACCCTATCTAAATAATCGAAACATCTCTGTTTCACTCATACTAGGAAGCAGACTATAAGTGAATAAAGACGAAATCTTTGCATCATGCAACAACATTAAAATGAAAAGAAGTATTCAATCTAAACAATCTCATTATCCAGGTAAAAACACTACTTTGCGCATAACTAGGGTTTGCATGCTTTGGAAACGTAAGGTTTGCACCATAAGAAGAAGGGATACGCGCGAGAGAGAAAGAGAGAGAGAGTGCCTTGGAGGCGAGAGAGCCACGGAGAATGCAAGAACAGCCATTTCGTGACGAGTTGAAAGATATAAATTTTATGGGTTTTTATTAGGGATTATGCGTTTGATCTGTCGCGGACGAGCTGGAAGCTGAGTTCCGATTTGGCTGGAGATTCCAGTCAAGCACTGGGGCACTGCTATCGCTCTATTGCTAATCTGTTAACGACAAGTGTAGAAAAAAACAAAACTGGAATGGATAGAACGCCAGAACGGTGACACCAGACTAGAGACGGCGTCCGGGACTTGAAACTGAAAAAACACTCAAGTCACAATGTGCGTTTAGACTACGGCTTCGATTCTACTATCCCTCTCCTCTTCCTCGTGTTTCTCTCTCTCTCTCGGGCTTTGCCTGCAAGCCAACGGTTCTTTTAATCTTAGTGTTAAAAATTGGATGAGCATTAAATAGATAGACGAAGAGCTTCAAAACTCTAAAATTGTAAGTTGAGATAAAGATGAAACAATTAAAAGAAAATAATATTTTTATGTTTGTGCATGTAGACTTATCTACTACATGGACAATTCAATGTCTACGAGCAACTTATTTGCCACGTGGCTTAGTAATTATTTTTCATGTGAGAACACTAAAGCAAGATGAGTTATTATGATTACTATATATAGAAGCTATGAGGCCACATAGTAATGAGGCGGGAAAATTTCGAAGCAGTGTTGAATGGAAGCTTATAAATGAAAGATCTATAGAAATGGATTGTCATCTAGTTTGTTTTGTTCTGAAATATTTGCGGCAGTAGATAAATATAAAGTTTAACGTCTTATCATTATACAAAGATACAGCGCGCAATCAAATAAGAGATGGTGTAGCATTCATAAGAGACACCAGAGTTTTTACGTGGAAACCCCTGAGAATGGGGGAAAACCCATGGGATCTGGCTAGTTTGAATGAATCTACTATTATATGAAGTCGATTACAAATGATGCCCTTCATTGGAGGGAAGTCTTTGACTGAGTATAACAGATATACATCATATAGAATGCATTACATAGTAGAATTTGGAAGAATCAATATTAATATGTTCGTTTTGTCGGCAAGATCATAGTTAGCAGGCGACAGAGGTCGGGAAGACCGTAGCCTGGTGACGGGGGTCGAAAGGACCATTGTATGGCGACGGAGGTCGAAAGGATTATAGTAGGCGACGGAGGTCAGAATGACCAAGGTTGGTAGGAGACAAGGATAAAAAAAATCGTTATATGGCGGTGGAGGTCGAAAGGACCGTAGTTGGTAGGAGACAAGGGTTTGAAAGACCTTTGTCTTAAGGCGGTGGCCCAACAGAAGTCTGATGTCAAGCGGTGGTCAGACAGAAGTCCGACGTTAGGTTGTGGTCCGGCGTTATGCAGTGGTCCAGCGTCAGGTGGATGTCTGATGGAGCTTCGGGTCTCAGATGGTGGTCCGACGGAACTCCGGCGTCAGGTAGTCATTCAGTAGAACTCCGGGCGTCAGGTGTTGGTCCAGCGGAACTCCGGAGGTGGTCGAGGAGGCAAGAGCCATCTCCGATTTCTCTCTTTTCTCCTTAGGCTTAGGGGTCCCCTTTCATGAGAAAGCGGTGCTCTATTTATAGATTCTCTAGGGTGGCATGGCCCATAAATAGGGGAAAGATCAAGGGTATTTTGGGTGTGGTCTGTACGGACGACCGATGTTGATTCCCTATATCATGGACTGTTTGTTGGACATTTGGATGCCTTAGTGACATCAGAATTTAGTGATCTTGGGCTCGTTGGATTCGTTTCGTTGATCTGCTCGATTCAACTATAAGAATGTCACATTTAGAAACTGTTTGGTAATCTAAATTGTGGTTTGAACCTTCTAATGGCGCTTCAGGTCCTTGATTTGTACCCATTTGGGCTCAGAATGAGTAGAATTTGCTGTCATTGGGTTCGTATTTTTGAGACGTTCAGTTCAACAGTAAGTTTTCTAAAATAAGAGTTCAGATTATCCCAAATTTAATTTCGGATGTTTCCAACTTAATTTTGCCTCGAGATTCAAGCCCGATCATTATAAAATTTTTATGATATATCATAGCTAGTTTTCACTTTCTTTAAATAAAATGTTATGAGATTTTGCATGAGAAGCTAGACATTAAGATAGACGGTGCTAACAAGCTCAAAGTAAACTTAGATGTCACACTATATCATCAATAAAATTTCACAGAGAATCAATTTACATTAGCCTTAATTTATATGACAAACTTATAATCAATCGTCATGGAAAGGTAATCAGAAGTTTTTATCCTGTTTAGACCGGCAAGAGTTACAACGATAATTTGAATATCACATCATATGCTGGCTCACACAAATTCAACTCTAATCTTGTATGCATACATTGCTCAATGAAAGGAAAACAAAAGTTGAATGCTTGTAGTTATCAATGATTGAGAGTTTTGTATACTTTAAATGTATTTTCAGTAGAAACATATTGTTTTTATTGATTCTCATGTAATGATTGCATGAAATAGTATGTTGTAGTAATTTCATTATTATTGAACTTCTGAAATATTGTGTAGGCACATCCTTATATTGATTTGCTTTCGCATCATCCTTGGAAAAAAACGGACTACTTTTTTACAATGCAATATATATGAATCAGATGGGCAGAATGGTCCAATATCTGTGTGAATAGATGGGTCAGTAGTGGCGGAGCCAAGATTTTTTTTGGTGACGTTATGAATCATTGGTTTAAAAAAAACCTCAACCGTTTTCATCCGAGCTTGGGACAGGCATTAGCGGTTTAAATTTTTTTAAATAGATTATTATTAAAAAGATAAATTATATATAAAAAGAGAACTTATAGTGAGTAATAATGATAATCAATTTCAATACAATGTAGTTAATAGAAACAGGTGCAATGCACTCCGCCTATATTCACGCACGTTGAAGTTGAATAGAGTGATACAATAAAATATATCTCTATAATAAATGGATTTAATCATATTGTTTGCTAATAAATATACTAAAAGAAACATAAATATATAATTAAAATGAGTAATTACACAAAAAACTATCACCTATATATAATTTCAAATAACATAATCTTACATAAATAGTATATAAATTGGATAACAACAAGTCTTCTAAAATGTATATGATTTTAAATTTACCCTATCCACTTGTGTGGAGAAGACAAATTAAGGTTTCGTAATGTCGAGAAAGAAGAAGTGGAAGGTAGGAGAAAGTGTAAGAACTAGCTTTGTTGTTTCAATTAAACTAGTTGTAAACTAAAGCACGGGCGAAGCAGAGGAGTCAAGCGGGCGAAGCAGAGAGCAAAGCGGAGCACTGACATGACTAGCGTGATGGTTAGCATAATCGGATCGTGCAAATGAGTGAGGAAATACATGCAAGAATGAAAAGTAGCGACTACTCATATGAGATAACTCTGTTTCGCTTTGCCCAATTAAGTCAAACGAATGAAAGGAACAAACAAAGGCCGACTAAGAGGAGGAAGAATGAGAATTAAGGTTTGGGAGTCAATTCTGTTCATTTTTATACAAATTATTTCATGATTTAAACTTAAGAGAGCATCATTTTAATTAAAAGGAAAATGAAGGAAATAGAGAGAGCATTTTTGGGTTTCCATTTCTTGCAATGGGGAAAATAGTAAGTCATGTTAAAAAAAAAAATCATCCAAATGTAAATACAATATAAATGCATAAATTATAATTTTTCACTGAAATACTAACAAACTGATATTTAATAGGAAGAAATCAAGCTGGTGGAAGTTTCAATTTAGCTATTTGAGGTAAAAGATGAAAGTTATATAAGTGAAATTTCAATTTATTTCAGAAAATTTTATATGCAATATTATTAGAAATATAGTTTGTTAAATTAAAGGAATTTAAATTTATTATTTCTTTGATGATTTCTTCAGAATTTGGTTTAGCAATATTTAATGACAATTAATATTATTTTGAAACAAAGAAGTAATTAAATGCATGAATTGAGTTTAATATTGAAACTCTACAAAAGTTCTTGGAGGAAATTAAGCCTTGTATTAAGGAGGGTTATTTCAAAGATCGAGGATTTAGAAAGAATTTGAACACATGAAAATAATTAAAATGAGTAATTACAATTATTTGATAGCAATTAAAATTTGATTTTTTTTATTGCAATTATAATGTTATAGCATATATATATTAATTGAATGTTTAATATATAAAAAGAATCAAATTGAGAAAAATAAAGTGGATGATTATGATTATTATATATCAATTACTTTCTTTTATTTTTTAATTTAGTTTTAAATACAGTATTATACCTAATTATTTAATTATATTTTAATATTTATTATATCCAAAATGATGAAAATTTAGCAATTAATGTTACAATATAATATGAATGTGTATGTGCGTATGAAAAGAACATATATCAATTAAAATACAAGAAAAAATGAAATAAATAAAATAATTTATAACATATAAATAAAAATATTAAAAGAAAAAAATATCCATGTATGCAAATATAGAGTTCACCCTTTTATGATATTGGTTAGGGATGAAACATACCCATGCACATTAAATGAAAAAAGAAATAGAAATGAAAATGGTTATATGTTTATTGATATAAAATGTTAGAGGGTGCTCATGTATTGTACTAAATGAAAAGAAAATTTTAATAAATAAAAATGGAAAAGAAAACAAATACAATAGATAAACAAATAAGTTATTTGAAGGGAATATAATAAAATTCTATAGCTTATAAAATATTTTGTTTTAGTTATTAACTATACAAGAAAGATAAAAGAACATAACTGTTTTTATGTATGTTAACCGTTATACTACAAGCTGTGATTATCAACTAACTTTACTATGTAAATTCAAATTGTTAAACTTAAAATTCAGTTAAATCTTCTGAGAAATGAATGACTAAAAAAGCATAATTTATTTACAAGAAGAAGAGATCAAATAAAAATAGGTAAGAACTAGTTTACGTATATTTTCAATATATAAATTTATTTTAGTAGCTCTTCAGTTATATATGTGATGTTTGTTTATTAATTATTTTATGTTATTAAAAGAAATATATTAATCTTCCGACCATCTGATCCCACCTCATTAATTTGAGTCTCTGGATCGGGTCATGAAAAAAGTGGTATCATAGCCCAAATAGGATATGAATCATATCGAAAGAACCATTAGATTGATTATTGAGTTTAAGAATTTTGATATGATATAAAAACTATGAATTTTATAAGATAATTTACTTTATTTCAGGACTCAAAATGAGCACGAAAAAGATATGAAAAATAGTTGTACTGAGTATTATTGTTAATATTAATCCA